TTCATCTTGCGCGATGACTACTTGATCGTCGGCAAAACTTAAGGTGTGTAGGTATTCGTCTCTTACTGGTATGCCCATTCCTTCGCACTTTCTCCTCCATGGTTTGAGTGTCTTTTCCAAGAATATTTTAAACAGAGTAGGGGACGTAGCACAGCCTTGTAGAAGTCCTTTTGTCGTCTTAAATGGATTGTAGGCTTTATTTCCACATTTAATAGCTAATTTGTTTTTAATTTTGCTAATTTGACCCTAGGTATTGAGTCGTATGCTTTCTTTAGATCAACAAACGCCAGATGAACCGGTCTACCTTTTGCCATTTTATTCTCTATCAGTTGTTCTAATGTGTACGTATGATCTAGGCATGATTTTCCTACTGTGAACCCTGCTTGGTCTTCTCCAATTTTTCCTATTATTTCAGTTTCTAGTTTTTCCTTGATAATTTTCCCGTAAAGTCTACCTACCGACGATATTATACTAATTCCTCTGTAGTTTTCACATTTTTTCCTGTTTCCTTTCTTATGTATGGATGTAATGTATGCTTGTGTCCATTCCGCAGGTATTTCCTCTCCATTTAATCCTCTTTCGAACATTCTGTGTAGCATGCGGAATAACTTTTCCGTTCCGTTTTTAATTAGTTCGTTTGCTATCCCTCCGGGTGCTTTGGCTTTTTTGTTAAATATACTTTAATAATAATAATTAAATATACTTTAATCGTTAAACTATTAATATCATTTAGGAAGATGCGCCTTTTGTTTTAAATAAAAAAAATTGACTCATACATATCATGAAATTAATTTTAAAAATAACCCAACTTGTTCCGTTTATCATATTTAATTATATTGACTTAGTCTTACCTACATTTGTTCTTAAACTAATTCGTTCGCTTTTTATTATGTTTAATTAGTGTATATTATTTACTACAGTAATCCACTACAGTTACGCAGTTGACTAAAAGATTCCAGAAAAATATATTTTTATTGCCCTACTACGACGAATTGACCAATTTGAAAGGTTTTAAACATAAATACACTTTAAATCTTAAAATATAGAATAATTTCAAGATATTACTATAATTTCTGTTGTATGTTTAGAAAAATTAGACATAGAAAACAAAACAGTGTTTTTTTTTATTTTATTTATCCGCATCAACCACTGGGGATGTTAGCGGTAGGTTTATGACACAAATAGAGAAAATAAGGTATAAAAGAAGTAATGATTTACAAGAATATGGTACAATGTATATGTATGTACCTACATGTAACGAAAATTAAATCAAAATTTATTATAAAGTTTACAGTAATTTAAAAAAGACAGAACTTTTTTAAATTACTGTAGATTTGTACTGTACTGTAATTACAATCACGTAGATTCTTTAACAATGAGTTCTGCCTTCGGCCAACAGATCTTCTTCCTTGATTCTTTCCCTGTATTATGAGTCTCAAAATTTTATATTTTGGACCCCTCATCCCGTGGCCTAGGTATTTCAGTTTTCTGAAAATACCGAAAACATTCTGGCTAAAAAGTCTCAGACAATGGTAGGTACAAACAACATAATCTCTTCTTAAGGCAACAATATAATAGCTAACATTCGTAATGGGGTGTTTTCGGTCTATGAGCTGTTAAGGCGTAGCTTCCACTACGGTAGGCACTGTCAGGATTGATTTGGTAGGTACAAAGGATCATATTACTTCAATATCTTGGCTTGTTGGTTGTTGAGAAGATTGAATGTCAGGGTGTTCAAATTCGCGCGCATTTTGATTTGATATTGTTCAGAAATTATCTTACACTCTTCAGAAACTTTTAGTACCTGCAGATATCTATCTAAGGCGTCATTATGGATATACCAACTAGTATTAGCGGCATCAAGAAGAACGAATCAAGAAGATTATAGAAGAAAATAGAAACTTAAGATCTATCAAGTCTCACCTAGAAAGAAATAAAATCATAGAGATTGAAAATAAACAAGGTGTAATAGAAAAAAGCAAAACCCAAATATCTAAGATAACAAGTGAATATTAAAGTGACCTCTACAGCTCTAAAAACAGTCCACCTGATACAACTCAACAAAACCTGAAAAAAAAATAATGAATGTAAACTCTGAAATATTACCCCCATAACCGGAGAAGAAATAGAAAAAGCAATTAGAGATATGAAAAAAAATAAGGCTCCGGGAGACGATGAAATTTTAATTGAAATGTTAAAAGAAGGAGAGGAAAAGATATAAGACTACCTAAAGATACTTTTCAATAAATGTTTGTTTAAAGGACAAATACCGCAAGAGTGGAACAAGGCAAATACAATTCTGATATATAAGAAAGGAAATAGATCAAAATTAGCTAACTATAGACCAATATCTCTCTTGTCACAAATCTATAAAACTTTCACTAAGGTGATCACAACTAGACTAAACAACAAATTTGATGCATACCAATCTGTTGAGCAGGCAGATTTTAGAAAGGGGTACAGCACAACCGACCATTTTCACACTCTTTAAAATATTGATAGAAAAGACCAACGAATACAACCTTCCAATATACCTAGCGTTTGTTGACTATGAAAAAGCGTTTGACAGCACAGAACTATGGGCAGTCAAAGAAGCGCTAGTTAATTACCGAATAGATTCACGGTACAGAATGTTAATCCACAATATATATAACAAAACGCCAGTATGAGAATTCAGCTAAAAAGAGATTTGCAAACTCCATTAATTAGAATTTGTAGAGGTGTCAGACAGGCGGATACAATCTCACCCAAACTATTTACTCTGGCGTTGGAAGACATTTTTAAATCTATAGACTGGGACAATAAAGGGATTTGTATAAATGGGAAATATTTAAATCATCTAAGATTCGCCGATGATGTATTCCTGATAGCAACAACCATGGAACAACTACCAATAATGATTTCAGACCTAAAAAAAAACATCTCTTGAGAAAGGACTAAAAATGAATCTAAAGAAAAGTAGAATACAGACTAATACAAAAGACAGATCAGTAATTACCATAGGTGGAACAAACATATAACACGTCCAAGAATATATTTACTTAGGACAAGCTATCAGAGCAGACAAAAGTAACCAGACTAAAGAAATAACCAGAAGAATAAGAATGGGTGGGCTGCATTCGGAAAAACTCTCATATACTATCAAAATCCAAAAAATACCTTTTAAAATTAAGAACGAAGGTATTTAATGCATGCGTCTTACCTGTTCTGACATATGGTGCCCAGACGTGGAACGTGTACCAAGAGCAACTTAGAATAAAGAAAACTAAAGAGCTATGGAAAGACAAATGTTGGGAATATCGTTGAGAGATAAAAGAGGAACAAGTGGATAAGATGCAAAACCGAAACAACAGACGCTGTCGAACATGCATTTAAATTAAAATGGAAATGGGCTGGGCATAATGAAAGATATCAGGATGGAAGATGGAATAAAGAAATTGGCCGCTGGAGACCATATACTGCAAAAAGGTCAAGAGGTCGACCGCAAATGAGATGGAAAGATGACATTGAGCAAAGCGCAGGTCCAATGTGGAAAAGACAAACAGAAGACAGAGACAAATGGAGACAAATGGGAGAGGCCTATATTTAACACATGAATAGATTTTTTGGCTATATATATATATATATATATATTATATATATATATATATTATATATATATATATATATATATATATATATATATATATATAGATTAGCGATTATTCTTAGATATTTTTTCTATGTTAATCGTTTGTCTAGATAAATACCTAGCAGTTTTAAATAAGTATAAGGTAAGATGTGCTTTAACTTGTACAGAAGTTCTGTATGTCACACCTTGTCAAAAGCTTGAGAGACATCTAGAAAGCCTTCAGTACATTATTGTATGTTTAAGAGACTAGTTCTTATTGTTGTGCATAATCTGTGAGTTTGTTCTTTAAAAGTTATTTATGAGACCCTTGTTGTACAATATTGCTTTAATTTGTCCTAACAAAAGGTTTTCAAAACTCTTAGAAATTACTGGAAGGAGACTTATTGGTCTGTATGAGTTGACATATTTTGGATCTTCACCAGGTTTTTAAATAAGTATAATTTGTGCCTTTTCATTGGGCAGTAGTGCATTAACATAGCATTGAAGATCATAGTAATTATTCGGTAGCAATCATTTGTTAGTTCTTAAAGGACTTTACTCGTAATGAGGTCGTATCCTGGTGCCTTATGGGATTGTATCTCATGCTTTATTATCTTCTTTACTTCTTTAGTGTTAAATTGGGAGATTAATAATTCTATTTTACATAAAGGGCCAAGAAAAAAATGAAGTGGTTCCTCTTGTTCTAGAGGCAGTACTGTGGTGTGTCGACTAAATACTTTCAAAAAATGATCTACGAATGTTTTGGATTTCTCTCTATATTTTCTAATCTTTGGCATTTTTCAAAGAAGGTGTGGCGTATTGTGACCCTCATTGTTCTCGTCGCTTTCCATAAAAAATAGTTTGTATCTTTGCACGGCGTTAGATTTTCTAGATAAATTTGGATCCCCTGTTTTTTTTTTCTTTTTTTAACAGATTTTTAAGTCTTCTGTGTGCTTAATTAGTGCGTGTGTGTTTTGCCAGTTTCTTCTTAGTTTTCTGTTCTATTAAATCAAGTTTTTTTTATCCTTTTTTGTGTTCTACTTTTAAATCTGTAGGTCAATAAGTTGATTCTTCTGTAGATAAGTAATGTTTTTCATTCTTGAGTTTAAGAGTTGTCTACTACTTGTTATAATTTCCCTAGAGCCCTAACGTTATGCGAATGCAGCAAGAAAATTATAGATCCAAAAAGAAATAGAAGTTAATTTTGGCGAATTTTTCCAGATCTTAACAAATTAATCACGAAAAATGTTTAAAAACATCATAAAATGACGTACTTCAATATTGACTCTATTATTTAAATTAGAAAATCTACTTATCTAGATCCAGCATTATGGTATTATAGATTATGACTTTAAAAAAGTATTTATAAAGAGAATTTTAACACAAGTATGTCAGTTAACTCATTATGGGGTAACTGTTAGTAGTTTGAAATAAAAGTCTACTCTATTTTGTACAAATATATTGAAATTAATTGGTAAACATTTGTTTACAGAGTTCTTTTTAGTATTTTGTATATCAAAGACTAACAAAATAATAAAAATGGGTCTCCAAAAATGCAGTGGCAGCGCCTTTTACCAATACGTTGCCGGCTTCAGTGGTAAGTATTAAAAATCCATTTGCTTTTTCTACATTGTTAATTTTTTATCGGAATACTATCAGGAGCTATACCATTAAAAATTTTGTAGTTATTGTCAATTAATAGAGGTCTACACACTGCTTTTAAATGGTTTAAAAGGTAATGTGATAAAGGTTTATATATTGTCAGTACCAACCTTTATATATTTTTTCATCGCCACATATAAATTAACTTAGCAAAGTAAAAAGCTTTACTTCAAACACCATCAGGAAGCGTTTCTACCTGAATGGTTTTTCTCAAAACCAAAATTATTCAACGCGGAGTTAAAACTCGGAGTAAGACCGTTAATGGAAATACAAAATGTAGTTCACATGCATACTTGTGACAGGGTTATCGGTTATAAAATTGGAGAAGAATACAAAAAGATTTAGCTACTTTATTCTTTATTTTTTAAGACGTTTCGTATATGAATCCATACACATCATCCGTTTATCTAAAAGTAAATCATAGAGCTTACCACTATGACGAAAAATTACCAAATATGACTTAATATAACACAACAGTTTATAAAATAACAAGAATTTGCAGCTATCAAGACGTGCAAGTTAGGTATGTTCAACTCAGGAACCAGAGAATTACACATTCAATGTGTTTTTATAAAAGTTACAAAAAAATCGACTCTCTCTCTCTTTCTTCAATCCTGACCCCCCAGGGGGAGTGTAGTGGTCGACGTGATGTCGTGTATTGTCCGTCTCCAGAGATCTCTGTCTCTGGTCATTTCTTTTAATTCATGCATAGGTCTTTGGCATATTCCTGTAATTTGATCTATCCATCTTGTTGGGGATCTTCCTCGTGATCTTCGGCCTTCTACCTTTCCTTGTATTATGAGTATTTCCATGTTTTCTGTGTTTGCTCTCATAACATGCCCAAAATATTTTAATTGTTGGAGATGGACTTTACTAGAGAGTCGTTGGCTAACTTTTAGCTCTCTTAAAATTGAGTTATTTGTTCCACGGTCGGTCCAAGGAATTCGTAACATTCGTCTCCAACAGAACATTTCAGTGGCGTCTATCTTTTTTCTCTCTGATTGTCTTAGAGTCCAAGATTCACATCCGTAGGTCAGTATTGGGAATATTAAGCAGTTGATCAACCTCATCTTTATCGCTCTTGAAATTTGACATTCCTTCCATATTTTGGTCATTTTTGCTGTAGCAACTTTTGCTAGATCACATCTACGTTTAATCTCTTCTTGTAATGACCCTGTGTTTGTGATTAATGATCCCAGATATAAGTATGAGCTCACAACCTCGAACCGGTCAATTGTGGTTATGTGTGGATGATTGTTGTGTAGTCTATCCACTATCATGATCTTTGATACGTTTAATTGCAGACCAAATATTTGACTTTCGTTTTCGATCAGTCGTATAAGTTCCATCAGCTCTGCTTGACTATTTGCAAGTGTCATCTGCAAAACATAGGTTGTTTAGTTTATGACCATTTATTGAGGACCATTCTTTCTAACAAGGAAGACAAAAAGTCAAATCACTGATATTTTGTTTTAACTATCATTGATAAAAGTTTTAATTTATAAGGTTTAAAAGGCTGCAGTTTCAAAATTAGTAGCATAACGGGGTACCACCACCAGTAGTGTGAGTGCACAATTTATGATGTTTACAAGGTTAGTTATAATTTATAACTATGTTTTCCTATAGTTTTATCATTGAATTAGATATCAACATAACAGTACCATATGAGGACGCAATTTGTGTTACAAGTTAACACAAAAATTCAACAAAATAAACCTTAATTGTTAACCTTACCTGCAATACATCAATCATTCTTATTTATTCATCTATTCAGAATCATAGGTATCTGTGTAGATGACAAGAATATTCGTGTCATTAAAAATTTGTACTGGAATCAAACTGCTATCGTAAAAATTGGAGATAACAACACCGATGAAATCTCTATACAACGAGGAGTCAGACAAGGTTGCATTTTGTCGCCAACATTGTTCAATGTTTACTCGGATCAGTTATTTAAAAAGGCACTTGAGAGACAACCTTATTGAATAAAAATTAACGGGGAACTACTTAGTGTGATTATATATGCAGACGATACAGTAATTATATTAGATAATATTGAAAGTGTTCTACATAAAATGTACATAAAATGTTGCTACATAAAATGTAGCATAGCAATGACTAAAACTACTTTAATGAAAATAAAGTCATTTCTTTGCAATAACCATCTCAATTTAGAGCTAAGACAAAGAATGGTTAAGTGCTATGTTTGGTCGGTAGTTTTGTATAGTGCAGAAGTATGGCCGCTAAAAGTATCATGAACAAAATTGAAGCATTGAAAATGTGGGTTCATAGACGAATGCTGAAGATATCTTGGACAGCAAGGAAAACTAATGAAGAATGAAGAACTAATGAAGAAGTACTAAGGAGCGTCAACAAAGATAGAGAACTGCTAAAGACTGCTAAACATAGAAAAATGTCTTATCTGGGACATATAGTAAGGGGAAGTCAATATAAAATTAGAGTTCCGTAGAGGTGTAGCAAGAAAACAAGTTTCGGATAATTCTGATGTGGCACGCGAAGAAGAAGGTATCTGTAATGTGTTTCCTGACATGTTAGTTCTTGAGTTGGAAACATCATTGTTAATTGTCAATGATTAAACGAAACTTTTTAAATGAGAGATAACTGCTTATTGCAGCAAATTTTTCTAAAATCATATTATTATATTATCAGCAAGCAAAACGTTGGAAAACTAAGTAATATGTTTATTATTTTATTTTAATATTATAAAAACTTTACTTTGTGTAAATTTTAATTTGGCAAATACTATAAAACGTAAATTAAGCAAAATTAGTAACAAAACTTTTTCTTGTCCTTCTTCCTCTCTATAAGCAATTCTGCTAGTTCATTGGCGGATTAATACTTCTATGGAAGTTTGTCACTTCATCTTGGGCGCGGTCATCCGATACTTCTTTTGTTGATTGGTGACTTATCTCTTGCTATTTTGATGACACGGGTCTCTCCATTCTGCTTATGTGGTTATTCTATTCGTTTTTTCTATTGTGTGTCCATTTATTTATACACTCTACGTTACATTTTCTTCTAATGTCTTCACTTCTCTTTCGATCTTCAGCGTATTTCCTGTAATTCTTCTCAGTACTCTCAGCAATACAGTAGCCTTTGACTTGTTGCTGTGTCGAATCTTGTTTCTGAGGTATATGTCATTATTGGTGTTATACTGACTTTATAAATTCTTGACTTTATCTCATTGCTAATGTGTCTGTTTCGCCATATAGTGTTATTGAGACATCCTGCCAGTTTATTTGCTTTTTGAACTTTATCTCTCACTTCTTTTTCCAGGTCTCCATAGCTGGACAATCTAATGTCCAGATATTTTATTCCCATTACTTATTCAATACTGATGCCACCAAATTTTATTTTATGTCATGTTGGTTCTTTGCTGACTACTATTGTTTTAGTTTTCTGAATGAGATTGTCATATTAAATTATTTTGCATCTGTGGACCAGTCTTTGCAGGCTATCTTCATCTTGGGCTATCAATATTGCGTCGTCTAACTATTTTTATTTCTTTTTTTTCCATTCTGTACCTTCCTCCTTTGCTAACGCTTTTGATGCTTTCATCCACAATTAAATTGAAGAGCATGGGGCTCAAGGATCATATTTTTATAATATTTAGTTTAACTTCTCTATTATATAGAAGATGGATTACGTCATTGAGTCTTACTCTGTCAAACACTATCTTTAGGTCAATCAGACACAGAAATGCTGGTCTATTATCCTCTAGTGATTTCTCAGTAATTTGTTTTATAACGAATATTGCATCTATACACGATTTTTCACTACGAAAATCCTGTTCTTCATCTGCTAAACTCATCCTTTAATTTATTAGCACTTGTAAAATTTTGTGTTCCTATTCTTGTGTTCCAGTGTTCCTTTTTTATTTGTCTAACTAAAGTATTCGTTTCATTTCTGATTCGTTTATAGTGGTTGTATGCTTGTTGTGTTTGTTGTGTTCTGTATTGTAAAAAGGCTTTCTTCTTTTCTTCACATTTTGTCCTTACTTCCTCTCTAAACCATGGTACTAGGCACTTGGGTTATTTCTTGGTCCCTTGAGTTAAGTGATCTGATATTTCCAAGTAGTAATTCTCATCTGGGTTGTGGATCTTTTTCGCTTGTCCTTAGTTCTTGCCGTAGTCGTCTTACTCGTCTTCATAGTATCAATCCGGTTTATGTTTACGTTTTTTCTTTAGCAGTACTTGTTTTTACGATTGGTAGGTTGCTAACCTTGCCAATCATCCTCCACATCCGGCTTGGGACTGGCTGTGGTAACCGCAAAGCTACGCATTTCACCCGCAGTCACCCCAACTAGTGTTATCTCCTCTTCTTCCTCTGTTTTTGAATAGTAGAATTAGTTTGCTCGTTCTCTGTTCAGTAACAATACTTATGTTCGCAATTCTAACAGTCAACGATGCTAAAAGATAAATAACGAAAAAAATTACAAATATAATTAATTACCACGTTTAATATGTTCTTTACCTTTTTGTTGACATACTAATCTTTAGATAGATTGGCAATTGTATCAATATATGGTACGGTAATTACAAAATAGAGAGATTGCCGATAATTATTATCTACATCTGAAAGATTTAAGTAGAGGATAGGCATTCTGAGGGCAGCATTGTGCTCTATAAGGAACAATTAAAGATTAAGTGTTGAAACTAAACGCCGATTTTGCAAAAGGTACATACACAATTTGAAAATGTTCTGAATGCATTTAGAAATTCCATATATGTTTCGATAATAAAGTCAATGGGCCGTTTACGATATACGAGGGGTGATAAATAATATCTAATAGGTGAGTAGTCAGGTAATGCAAAGGTGGTGTCAACTGAGGCAGATTAATTTTTACTACAACAAATTTACACTCCAACGAACATAAAAGATTTATATTATTCCGTAAAATAGTTTCGAAACATA